CCTCCACCGAACATTTTTCTGGAATGATTTGCGAACGGCGCGGCGTAGTCGCGTCAAATTTTGCATAGCTGTAGAAAATTGAATAGCGGATCGTCGGGGATCAAACGTATAGATGTCCTTGCAAAGTCGCTGACCTATGGTGGGTCAAAGTAAGGCCATGGTTTCAGGGAAGGCATTTTCTAGGGAATCGTTCAACCTGATCCAACAACGTTAGAGTGTTAGACGAAGCCATACATCTCTAAGATGCTTTCTTAGCCAACACAGCTACTGAATGAACAAATCACACTGACCTAAGGTCAGGTATGAGGGTCAGACAAAAGTCAATCACAACATGTTTTATTACTCTAGCGTTTGCTGTATGGGGTAGTTCCTGGTGCTTATTTCGAAGTTATTGATAACTGGAACCGTATTATACATCTTCCATGTACTTCTGTAAGGTCTGGATATGTCAGTGACCTAGAATGACCCAAGTTAGCATTTTGTTTTTAGGAACATATGCCTGGCGCAATCTTTGTCGTTTATCCCAATGCAAAAGTTAAGGCGGTCTTGGATGATTTTGGTCACCATGATCTTTAAAATGTCAAACAAGGTCACTTACGTGAAATGGGCATGTGAGGTTTTGCTTAGAACAGTTATCTATATTCCAGGAGCCCTTTGGAGACTACCCTGGAATTTGACATTGCTTGACCCGATTTCACTCAAAGTTCATGACCTAGGAGCCTCAATATTTAATCTAAGTGAGTTCACGTATAGGTCAATACAGCCTGTGAGTTTTGTGTATTCTCTCTTAGTTCTTGGGATTTCACAGGGTCAAATTGACTCCCACCCGAGCGAAGGGTGTCCAACCGGTCACCCGTGCGCGTATTCATCACCGCATGGCTTATGGAATGACAGAATTTGAATGACGATATGGCTACGTCATGGATACCAAGATGACCTTGAAATACTCTGCCCGATGCAGCTTTCCCACTGTCGTGGGCGTATAGTTCAGAAACTAGAGAGGCTAATGTCTTAAAAAGGGCAGGATTGTGAGCAGTATCAAAAGGTCCTCAAGATAGCTAGTTCAGGTCAAAACAACAGTGTGGAACACTTCTGTTTGTTTTGAAATTGGATTCTATAGAGTGACATCCAGTAGACAGCTTTTACGTTAAATGCTCAGCGTTGTATACTTAGTTATGAATGATACATAAATTGCCGTATTATCCTATCAATGTATAGCCTGGAACAATATTTTAGCGTATCTTACCCCAGATTCAGCCTAGATTTCGCACCATTCATGCACTTTACGGACCAATATCTCCCCGAGGAAGTCAAAATTCTGGCCAGCTGCATCATCTCGACGAAACTCCTGTTGATGCAAAGGCAGCGATGCTTACAAATATGACCTACCTTGCCTAGAGTGGAGGTTGTACACGATAGGCAAAACGCTTTGTCCATGGGGCTGCCTGTGGGCTTTTTTATAGCAATTTATTAGACCGTCGACCGATGCTCGTTTTGATGGCTGCAGAAACCATATGGGCCATCTTTAGAACGGCGAAATCACGTAGGAAAACTATCTAAGAGAATGTTTCGCTTGTGTAACGGTGTTACAGCATGCGCAGGACGCGCTGCATATCAAATGAAAACACTAATAAACCCCAAGACAAACGATGGAAATGGAATGTGAAAATGATCATCACGCATCTTGTCAACAGGTAGGTTGGAATAGTTGGAAGATATGATGGCTATAGGGTGGTCCTTACGTTTTTCTTCGAAGTTGACTCATCTAGTGACCAACCCATGCTCATTAGTCTGGCTGAAGGAATCTGATGGAAAATCGATATTCAGGGAGCGAAAACCTCCCCGAAAGCCTTGATAATCGAACTTGTTACTTACCTAACGAGAAAAATATGCCTAGTTTTCTGTCAAATGGAAGCACCAGTGAACAAAATTGCACAGATGCAAAAAAAATGTCCAAATTTTCCAGGCAAAGTTAGAGACCATGAAAAACTCTAATCTTTAGGCTTTTCTACGATTTTCTTGAAGGTTGGCTCAAGGATCTGGAGGTTATGCTCAGAAGGCCAAGGTCCAGACCTGAGAGTTCGGGAAGCCGAGACACAGAATGTCGATGTTGAAATATTCGGCGCTAAGTTGGCTTACGTTCAGGTGTTCGAGGCCCTTTCGGCCGATACAATGTCAAAGGTCTGGTACAAGGTCAAAGTTCAGAGAGTTTGGATTAGAGAAATCAATACTCAGAATGTCACGGTTCAGGAGATCGAGGAGCTGGCGATCGCCTCAGAAAACGTCCATGTTCTGAGTGCTGGAATTTTCAATGTTTTCAATGTGAACGAATTACGTGTATCGAATTACATAACCTTAGGCGGAAAGGAGTCTGTGTGTGGACCTGTCGATCCATAGGACGCTGATATGGGCATTTTGTCAACCTGAAAATGACCTACTTTGTACCTGATGGCGTCGAGTACCCGTTTGTCAGATGACCAGGTGTCGTTCGCAATGCACGCCACAATACCCATGCTTTACGGACCGGCGCCGATGCATTTTGAGCTGGCACAACAGATGCTAACAAATAGTTGGTTCCGTAATTGTATTCAACGTAAAGCCCAACTACAAGCAGCTAAATGTCCGCTTCGCATAAACACCTGTTAATAATTACGTGCGACCTTGCTGTTACGCCACCAGCATAGCATGGGTCTTCTTTGTGCATGCAGTCACTTCACATCTGGTGTCAGTGCAGTCGTTACCTATCCCTTGACGACAGCGGCAGCCGGCAGCAAGTGGTGCAGCTAGCCTTTCTTGCAATGTTTTCCTTTGCAGAAGACGCAGCACCATCCTTTGTGACATTTGCCGTTTAGTGTGCTGCAGGTATTTGGGAAACTGCATTTTCTCCCGCATTCACCTGAAATTAGAGAACGGTCACTTGCAGGGATTTGTGGATGTTAAATCCTCTGCAGCACGCTGATGCAGCTTCGACGAACATAACGTCAGCCAATTTCAGTGCAAAAGCGTGCCATTTATGCCAACCATCCTATGAATAAAAAAAACGCTGCTAACATGAGCACATGCAATGCTCGAAATGCATATTCCATCTCTAAGAAACCTGGAGAGCGCATTTCGTGAGAGAAAGCCTGATGGGCGAGCGATCGGCGTGATGCATGACATGAGTTGATGAGTATCTCACAGTCAACCTCCACTTTAGCTGGGGTTTTGTGTAGCACAAGTCCACAGTAGTTCAGAAATGCACCACTTCTATAAATGGTCTTCGCTGAGAGCTACGGTCTAATTTGGGCCTTCAATGGGTCAGTGACCTTGCAAAGTACGCCTAAATCTTGCATAGCACAAGATCCAGCCTTTAAATGTTTACAGCTATGCAAAGTTTTGTGTGACCACGCCGCGCCGTTCGCAATCCATTTTGAAAAAAACAAACATCCGGGGCAACTTCACACACACACGAGCGTATGTTAGAACTAAATAGCACATCTCGTGAGGGGAGATCTTACATGTAGGCTATCGATGTGATGCATGACAACAGTTCATGAACATGTTACTAACGACCTCTAGTTTGAACTGAAGTTTCGTAGTTCATAGCGTCGCACATCACCATGGCGACAACGTTTGCTCAGCACCAGGCGACAACGACTGGAACGTACCGTATGTGTCGCCCGGAAGACAGCAGAGACGTTTGTGGGGCCTCCAACACCAGCGGCAGACATCCCTGTTCCATTTTCCACACGCCTTGCCGAATTTGCGACACCTTCCACCTGCAATGCACCGGTTGGTTAGCTCCGTTTACGGTTGAAGCCTGCCACACTTTTGACGTGCTAGAACTCAAGGAGTCAATTAGCACGATACAACGCCTGTGTGCACGACGGTCTGGAGTGCTGACAATTGAGGTACAGATCTGGCATATGGCTAGCGGCCTAATGCGCTGCTGAAGGAACCCAAAGGGCTCTTTACGATCTCAATAAAAAAGGCTCGATCAAAGCTTTGACACCAATCAGACAGACAATCGTGACTGCCCACAAGGAATACATGATTCTCCTGGGCTGGTTGAGGTGTGATTGCCCCCCGAATACCTCACGAACACATCCCCGCGGGGGACTGAATGGGATCACTTTACCTTTTTGCATTTTTCCTTATGTCTAAATTAGACACGCCCGGTTTAACAAGATTAATAATCCGGTTGATTTCGCACCACCCTGTTGGTGCACATCCCGGTGGTGCTGGTACAAGACATTTTGGGATGGTCAGTCGACCAGAACGATTCTGCTCAATATAGCAGCTGCTACTACGAGTACTAGCTTCAGACGGGGTATTTTATCAGCTGGATAGTTTGCCTAGATGCATAGTCAGATCACAGTGCGCGATACTGTTTGCTACAAAATAGTCCTATCATTAGCACACCAGCTTTACCATGGTAAAAAAGAAAAGTGGACGTAGAAACGTGAGGAAGTGAGACATAAAGCTGACAGTTTTTCTTGTGCAGACGTCTGCACCATAGGTCTCACAGAACATATGAAGGCGGGGTAGAAGGCCCATCAGCTATTTTTGGGGACATGCTGTCTCTGTCGCTCCCACCTACCAGTGGTATCTGCTTTGGCAACCACGGAAGTTCGGTGATAAAGGTGGAAATCGGCAGTGCAGTATGATGGAATGACTTACAATAAATTATTCACATCCGATATATGCCACACACAAATATCTCTACTTGGCTGCCCGAAGTACAACCATAATCATTACATAGGGTCCATCCCCATTGTTCACCACAGCGTGACTTTGAAATCTTCTTTAATGGTCACACACTTCCTAAAGTCCCTGAGGGTTTTCATTTTTGCAACGGATTTTGCGACAGTTTTTAACCTTTACAGAACGAGGACCAAGAACTCTCCGTATGGTGCTAAACGCCCCGGCTAACACAGAATACTTTCATGGTCTCTTTATGGAGCTTTTTATTGTCATATCTGTCATATACTTCCATTGCCCAATAGCCGCGACCAACACAAGAGGACATTGCCAAGAAAAACACCAGTAACTCACCTTCAGTGGTCACCAACACCACACAAAGCACGACAATCAATGGCAGCAGTCGCATTGTTGGTGAGAGACGACTCAAAAGGATATGCCCATGCTGCCTTTGGTCGCTTTTTATACTGGCAAAAACGAACCATGAGGCGGAGGGGGCGTCAATCATCCCGTCCCCTCTAAAGGTCAGCGAACTGGCCTGTGATGTACGGCGACATTTACAAGAACAAGGTGATATCATCAACCGCAACCCTCGTTTACGAACGTGCCAATGGTGCACGGAGTAGTGCTTAGTCACACAGGGAAGGGCGTAGAGGACAATGCCGACATGGCCCATGCAACGCATTCGGGATGTATGTACATGGAACGTACTGACCGATTGTGATAAAGCGTTGCGTTACTCACCTCGTTGAATTAGGATGTTGCACGGTGTTAATAGTCGAGTTGCCATTCTTACACTTCTTTTATGAGACCTTGTAATGTCGACTTCCGCGAACGTTTTTCACGGAAATATGTCCTATATAGCTTGGAGACCCAAATTAGCGTACGCGCTACTTGTTTTACCGAACATATCGCAGAATTCAAGATGGCGGCCGCCACCATCCTGAATGTGTGTCCGGTTTCAAAATTGTTTTCTCTATGGATACGAGTGTTGTTCAACACGATTTTTGAGATATTTCCTGCTGCAGGGAGTCCATTTCTGCTATTATTTGTCACAAATGGGCTCGAATTCAAGGCCAAGTCGAGGGTCAAAGGTCAAAGATGATCACGAGAAACGGCAATCACCTCTATTGATTGACACATGTGCTGTGTCTTTATGTCCTCATTGTAAGGATACCACTCACAGAAGCGGGCATGTGTTCTATACGGCAGCCATATTAACATATGCTTCACACATGACGCATGCACTATAGAATACGTTTTTTCACCTGGCTGTGTACGTGCAGCCGAGTAATCATCTTCATGCTTCTTATATGACACTGCAATGTCAACTACAGCGAACCTGGAACGAAAATCTGCAGCCGCAACAAGCAAAGTGCATGCCGCTGGCGCACAGGCTGCTGCAAGTGTTAAGGAGAGATCGCATGCCATGAAACATATCGTCACTTCCAGAGCCGTTGTTTATAGTAATTTGTGTTACTGACCATTTGTTCATGTCACTTGATGTGAGCAGGAAAAAAATGACGTAAGCAGGTTCAAATAATTGTTTATTTGTTCTGCAGCCTAAGCCCTGTACAACTAAGGCGATACAATCAATTCTTGGCGCTGAATTCATTCCTCACAGGATTACTTTAGATGTTAGAGCAGTCATGGTCTTTGATGTAACTCGGCCCTCCTCAGAGTTTATCTGTCAATCCTGCCGTGACGTCATCACGGGGCGCCGAGCGAACCGAAAGCATTGCAAACCCATAGGAAGGGTGTTTTTCAGAGGCAGCTTTTGGGCAGTTTGAAAAGATACAGACGGCTAAAGCGCTTTCAGCATCCGGTAAATCGTGTCTTCTGTCGTACACCAAGCGTGCTCTGGCTCTTGTACACCAAGTTCAGTGCCTTAGCTTTGAATTGCACGGCATTTTGCATAGGCGTTGCGACATTAACCTAGGTGGCGCTACCTGCATCAATACTTACTTTACAGATGACGCTAGTGTTCTTCGCGGACATATGATACCCATCCAGCTTTTTCAAAAGTTACATTTTGCTTCTTAAAGCGTTCTGCGCGTTGGAATGCAAGCCGTGCTTGCCGGGTTTGAGATGCCTTAATGTCTTGTAGGCAAATGTATTTCCACTATGTGTGTGCCACTGAGGCATATTCTGGACCCATTTCTCGACTTCCTAGTGTAGATGTCATCTAATATTCTACCACTGTATTGGACAGCTACATTGCTGAACCAGCTAAGATTGACGTTAACTTGAAAATTTGACAGCTTTCTGGGCACGAGTGGCGCTTTTGACGTTTGAAATTGGCTGAGTATTGAAGGCGTGATATGGACATGGGACATTTTGAGCTCACCATCAATATTAGTGGACATGTTCGTGCATGAATACCTCCACCTCAAAACGATAATCCTACCCATGTATCAGATCAAGTCCATATGCAGAAAGATTACACACCGTGCAAACTAATAATTCTAGTGCATATGTTCCGCATATATAGAATACCAATGTGATACAGAGATGAAACACAATGCCAGATAATGATATCGTTGCAAAATGCCGCACGCGGAGGAAGCAGCTACCAAAAGGGTCGTAGCAGTGTACAAGCAAGACGTCATGTATGCTGTCCACATCGAGACACAGATAGATGCGTAGCTTTAGCGTAGCTTTTGCACGTAGCTTTTGCGTCCAGGCCAACAGATAACAGCACGATGTCATGATGTCATGATGTCATGATGTCATGATGTAGTCAGAAAGGCATCATCTACCCTCTACGCAACAGAATCACACGTCCCACAAACGCGCTCACCAGTCCCAGGAAGCGTGCCGGGATGTGGAACCCAATCAACCCCCTCCCCCCCCTTCAGCCTCCATCCAGAACAGTGAGAACCTAGGCCGATCGACCGGAAACTGACACTGCTGGCCAAATGGGTATACATTAATAATTCAGTGGCGACGCTTGTTTTAAGGCACTACGATGCCAGCTAACTAAATTTTGGAGCCCACTAGAGCACCTTTCAAAATAATTTCATTTCCAGATGGTGATAAAACGCCGTTTCTTACTCGATACATTTCAGATGGATGTTATGGCCTGCACTCATCCAGACATTACCGCCGTTATATGCGCTGTGTTTTTCGTGATATAATGCATATTCATGGAAATAGTTTAGTAGCATTTTTATTTTATCCACCCCATGCAAAACATGGCATGGCGTCGCGCCGAGA